CCAAAAATAAATCCCGTACCAGCCGGGTGCGAGGGCTCATGCCTGTAATCCCAGCACTTTGGGAGGCCAATGCAGGCAGATCACTTGAGGTCAGGAGTTCAAGACCAGCCTGAGCAACATAGTGAAACGCCATCTCTACTAAAAATACAAAAAATTAGCCAGGTGTGGGGCACGTGCCTGTAGTCCCAGCTACTCAGGAGGTTGAAGCAGGAGAATGGCTTGAACCCAGGAGGCGGAGGTTGTGGTGGGCCGAGATCCTGCCACTGCACTCCAGCCTGGGTGACAGAGCGAGACTCTGTCTCAAAATAATAATAATAATAATAATAGCCAGGCATGGCGATGCCTGCCTGTAATCCCAGCCACATGGAAGCCTGAGGCAGGAGAATCGTTTGAACCTGGGGGTCGGAAGTTGCAGTGAGACATGATTACATCACTGCACTCCAGCCTGGGCAACAGAGCAAGACTCCGTCTCAAAAAGAAAAAGAGAAACCCCATTAGCAATCACTCCCTATTCCCCCCATCTTCTGGAAACCGCCAGTGCACTTTCCATCTCCATGAAGTTGCCTCTGCTGGACACTCAAAATGAATGGGATCACACAGCATGTGCCCGTGAGTGTCCAGCTTCCGCCACTTGGCTGATCCTCTCAAGATGCGTCCACAGTGCAGCACGTGTCAGAACTTCCTTTGTTTTCTGGCTAAAACACACCCCTTGTGTCCATTGTGTTTATCCACTCCTCTGCTGATGGACTTTGGGCTGTTTCTGCCTTTTGGCAACTGTGGCCGGTGCTGCTGTGAACATTCATGAGCAATGTTTTGTTTGAACACTTCTTTTCAGTTCTCTGGGGTGTATCCCTGGAGTGGGCTTGCTGGGACATGTGTTCTGTGTAACATACTGAGGGGCCACCAAACTGTTTTCCACGGTTAGGGACACGGTCACCGTGCTGTCCAGCCCCACAACCACGCTCTAGGCTCCTGTGTGACCATGGCCTCGCCCACATTTGTTATTTTCTGTTTTTGATCGTGGCCATCTTAGTGGGCATGAAGTGGCATCTGACCCATTGCTGGTGGGTCCTTCCTTATACCTGTCAGGACTGGGGTGGCCCCATCTCGATGCAGGTGGCCCAGAAGCAGAGGCCCAGCACCCGATAACCCACAGGACCCGCCATTCCTGGAGCTGCTGCCAGACTCTGGGTGCTCAAAATTATGGGTGGGGAGTCTCAGGTGCAGAGGCTAAAGCTGCCCCAGGGGTGGGGAGTGTGAGGACGGAGCCAGTTGGTGCGAGTCAAGAGAAGGATCTGGGTGTGAGCAGCTGCGGAGACTCCGGGGCCCTGTCCCTGGCATAGGGTTGCAGCCGTGTCAGTCATCTGGTCGCGGCAGGGGCCTCAGAAGAGAGGGGATGGGGAAGGTGGTCAGAAGGGCAGCGAGGTTTGGGGAAGTCTTGGGTTTGAGTCCTTTCTTGCACTGCTACCAGTGTGGAATAAACCAAAACATGAACTCGTTTCAGTTCAACATGCAGGCTAAATCGCATGACAGCAGACGTCAGAGAATAGAACATGCATGTTCTTCTCCTGTCCTGGAATTTCACTGGCGATCATAACTGCTACCCCTGCCGTGCACTTTCATGCCTGGGCTCTTGTAATCCGGCAACAGCCGTCTGACAGAGGCACAGTCGCTGCCCTGCTTTAAAGAAGAGGAAGTGGGCCGGTTGCGGTGGCTCATGCCTGTAATCCCAGCACTTTGGGAGGCCTTGGAGGGCAGATCACAAGGTCAGAAGATTAAGATCACCCTGGCTAACAGGGAAACCCCATCTCTATTAAAAATACAAAAAGTTAGCCGGGTGTGGTGGCTCGCGCCTATAATCCCAGCTACTCAGGAGGCTGAGGCAGGAGAATCACTTGAACTGAGAGGCGGAGGTTGCAGTGAGCCAAGATCATGTCACTGCACTCCAGCCTAGGCGATGGAGCGAGACTCCACCTCAAAAATAAATAAATAAATAAAAAATAAAGGAGAGGAAGTAGAGGCACAGGGAAAGGTCACAGGTCTTGCCCGGGATCTTCGCACCACACCAGGAAACGCCTCAGAGCCAAGGCAGTGTGAAGAACAACGCTGTGTAGCCACGTGGAAGACAGCATCACACTCCGGACTTCGAATAACAGGTGCCCGGGAGAGAGGCCTCCTCCAGGCAGGTTCCTGCTGGACGCTGAAGTCCGGCCTGGGCTAGCCTTCCCTGCTGGGGTGTGGGCCGGAGAACACTTCAGGATGGGACCTGAGTCTGAAGCTACTGCCCCTGGCCAGCCCCACACGTGGCCTTTATTTTTTACTGATTTATTTTTGAGAGGGAGTTTTGCTTGTTGCCCAGGCTGGAGTGCAATGGTGCCGTCTCGGCTCACCGCAACCTCTGTCTTCCTGTTCAAGCGATTCTCCTGCTTCAGCCTCCCGAATAGCTGGGATTATAGGCATGTGCCACCACACCCAACTAATTTTGTATTTTTAGTAGAGACTGGGTTTGTCTATGTTGATCAGTCTGGTCTCAAATTCCCGACCTCAGGTGATCCGCTCGCCTTGGCCTCCCAGTGCTGGGATCATAGGTGTGAGCCACGACACCGGCCCACACATGGTCTTTAAACTGACCTGATGACAGAGGAACAGGTGAGGATTTCTTTTTTATTTATTTATTTTTTTTTTGAGACGGAGTTTCACTCTTGTTACCCAGGCTGGAGTGCAATGGCGCGATCTCGGCTCACCGAAACCTCCGCCTCCTGGGTTCAGGCAATTCTCCTGCCTCAGCCTCCTGAGTAGCTGGGATTACAGGCACGCGCCACCATGCCCAGCTAATTTTTTGTATTTTTAGTAGAGACGGGGTTTCACCATGTTGACCAGGATGGTCTCGATCTCTTGACCTCGTGATCCACCCGCCTCGGCCTCCCAAAGTGCTGGGATTACAGGCTTGAGCCACCGCACCCGACCCAAGGTGAGGATTTCTGAGTGAGCAGAGAGCTAAGGGCAAGTCTCAGCTCTTCCATTAGTGTTCCTGAACCTCAGTTCCCGTGTCAGGGAGACGCTGCAATCTGCCCTGTGTGTGTGTGTGTGTATGTGTGTTGCAGGGGGCAAGGGGAGGGGGCTGTGGCGTGGACCTGTGTTAGGAACACTGCCTGCCTCCCTCTTTGAGAATGTCCCCAGCCCAGGCTGACCTCCAGGGCACCTCAGCCTGATCTTAGGCCTTGTGGTTTACACAGGGGTGCCCTTACACCCATCAAATGCACCGGGCAACAGCTCTCAGGGCTGTTTGGTCTCTCTCTGTATTTTGCAAGAGCCCAGACCCAGAAAGCACATCTGGGACTTTCTCCCTAAGCTCCTCACTCAGCCTGGGGCTGGCAAGGAAGACGTGCACAGGGTCAGGGGTCCAGGGCTCAGGTGGCATCCTGGCTGCAGCCATGACCCTGCAGCCTCTGCTCTCCTGCCCCACTCGGTGCTGTGGGGTCCCCACTACCCTGAATTAGGAGGAGTTCTGGAAGTTCTGCTTGGATCTAGACCCTTGTCCTGAAATGCAAGACTAGTTTCCCATCTTTAAAATGGGCGTCATGGCACCCAGAAGGCTGCAGACCTGACGGTGAAAGGGAAAGTCTGCCCTGCCGGCTGGTCCCATGTGTGTCCGGTCCCGTGTGTCTCCGGTCCCGTGTGTGTCTCCGGTCCCGTGTGTGTCCGTTTCCTTTCTTTTGTCCACACCTCCGCCACCGACCCCCGCCACCACAGCAGGAAGCCTCCTGAGCCCCTCCTGTCCACCAAACTCCAGCGTTGATTTCCCACAGGAACCCTGTTCTGCCCCCAGTATCCTGAGCCTCGGAAGTGGACAGGGGTGCTCTCCAAGGTGAAGCCAGGCGCCCTTCCTGGCATGAAGCGCCCCAAGCAGAGGCCTAGCAGGCAGTCGCTCGACCCTTGGCCTCCTCCCCCAGTGGCGGCTGAGGAAGGTTCTTGGGGGTCCTGGGCAGGGGCCAGCAGCCAGGCTGGGGCAGGCGGTGATCCAAGACCTCACCTCTGGCCCCTGTGATCTTCTTAAGTCGCAGCTCCCTCTTTGACTCCAGTGCCAGCAGAAGCGGCCCGGAATCTGCCCACCCCGGCCCGGGACTGGGCGACTCCGCCGCGGCGCCTTGAAGGGGCGCGCGGTCCCTCCCACCGGTCTCCGAGGAAGCCAGGACCTCGCGCCCCACCTGTCCGCTTCTCCAGGAGGCCCTGGCGCCGCTGCTGCCTGGCCCTCGGCTCGAAGCCCTGTGTCCGCCGCCGCTTTGATCCCGGGGGGGCCCCGCTGGATAAAAGTCCCTGGCGGCTCCGCGCCAGCGCCAGAGGGGGAGCGCAGCCGAGCCGGGCGCACCAGCGGGACGGCGCAGGGCCAGGGCGCTGAGAGGCTGGGGCCGCTGGGCCGCCCGCGCTGGCCGCGGTGAGAGCGGGGCCCCAGGGCTGCTCCGGGTGGGGAGATGCGGGACGGGGTCTGAGTCCCCCAGGGCCCGCTCTGGGCCTGGGCGGTGGGGGATGGGAGGGCCGCTGGCGGCTCCAGGTGAGCACGCCCTCCCCGCGCCCCCAGTCCGTCGGGCGCGGCCCGCTACGCCGCGGGCGGAGTTTCCCCCATCCCCCCCGGCGCGGAAAAGCCTCGCCCCTCCCCGTCGCCACCCCCCACCCGCAGCCCCTTCCAGCTGCCCCGGGGCGGGGGCGGAGGCGCCGGGCTGGCCGCGGTGAATGTAGCCGCCGGGGCCGCCCGGCCGCGCTGCCCCCCACGGAGCCGGGCCGGGAGCGCCTCCGGCGGCCGCGGCGGGGTAGTCCAGGCCCCTCCGTCAGGCTTGCGGTTTGGGAAGAAAAGCCGATGCCTCCGCCAAGAAAAGAGCGAGCGCGGCCCCCTCCCCCCTCCACCGAACCCGGGCGGCAGCGGCGGCACATCTAACGCGCGGGCACCCGGGCCGCCGCGGCCCCCGCAAATACGCCCAGGCTCGGCCCCCGCCGCTCATTGGCGCGGGCGGGAGCCAGCGCACCCAGACCCTGCGCTGCCCTCGGACGGCCGGGCGCGAAGCCCCAGCAGCAGAGGCCGACGCACCCGGCCCCGAGCGCCTCGACGCCCAGCCACTCGCGCCTTCCCCGCCAGGCCCGGCGGCCGGGAGCGGGGCGAGCGAGCAGGAGCCGCCGGCATCCCGCGGCCCGGGCACCCCCGGACCGGCACCCCCCGCCGCCACCGCCTCAAGGCCGCCCGCTGTCCGCAGGTGGCTGCGGACCCGAGCGGCGCGGCCATGGGCCGAGGGGTGCGCGTGCTGCTGCTGCTGGGCCTGCTGCACTGCGCGGGGGGCGGCGAGGCCAAGAAGACCTGGCGGCGCCAGGGTCAGCAGCCGCCCCCACCGCCGCCCCTGCCGCCGCCTCCCCGGCGGACCGAGGCGGCGCCGGCGGCTGGACAGCCAGTGGAGAGCTTCCCGCTGGACTTCACGGCCGTGGAGGGCAACATGGACAGCTTCATGGCACAGGTCAAGAGTCTGGCGCAGTCCCTGTACCCCTGCTCCGCGCCGCAGCTCAACGAGGACCTGCGCCTGCACCTCCTGCTCAACACCTCGGTGACCTGCAACGATGGAAGCCCCGCCGGGTAAGGCCCGCACCCTGCGCCTCCCTACCCCACCCCATAAGGCCCCCGCCTTGCGCCTCCGTGCCCCACCGGGCGCTTCGCTACCCCGCCGGGTAAGCCCGGCACCCTGCGCCTCCCTACCCAACCCGGTAAGGCCCGCACCCTGCGCCTCCCTGCCTGGTCCGGTAATGCCCGCATCCTGCGCCTCCCTGCCCCGCCAGGTAAGGCCCGCACCCTGCGCCTTTCTGCTTCACCCAGACGCGCCGGGTCTCCAGCTGGACCCTCCCTGCGGGCCGCGGCCGTTCTCTCCCCGGGGTGGGGGGGGAAAGGGCTTCCGTCGGGCGCCCCGCGGTGCTGGCCTTGGGGAGGGCTCGCCTCGGTGACTTTCCGCGTGAAGAGCAGAGCCGCGCTGGAAGGGCTGCTCCCCGGCCAGCTCGGGCACTGCCCCCTCAGCCACCGGACACAGCCGCTTTGCTCGTGTCCTTCGGTCCCTGGGCGGTAAGATGCAGCCGGAGAGTGCGCCTGGCTCCAGCGGGAACAGGCGACACCGGGGGGCGGGGAGAGTCCTACTGCCCACCACCCCACGGCCCCGAAGTAGATAAGAGACGTGAGGCCAGGTGTCGGGGCGCGGCGGAGGCGCCCACGCGCTCAGCAGGCCGAGGACAGCCGGGAGACCCGGGCGTGGGGTCGGGCCTCTGCCTGAAGGCTTGCACGCCAGGTCCGTGGCGCCCGCGCCCCCCCGCACCCCCAGGAGCGTCCCGCGCCCCCGCCATGCGCGCTCCTTCCATGCGGGCGCGTTGCACGCCTTGGGCGCCGCTGCGCGCCCCCGGAGGACTCCCGCCCAGCCGCCGGCGCCGAGGTTACAGCAGGACCCGCGCCGGGCGGGCCGTGGGGATTTTCCACGGACTGCAGCCCGCGCGGTCCCTTCCCCGCCCCGCGAGCGCCACCTCCCGGGACCGCCGCCGTCCGCTGCGCTCCGCGTGGGCCTGGCCGAGGGCGCCCTCGTGCGACCGTCGCGCGCGGCGGGGAACAGGTGGCGTGGCCCCTCCGCCGGGGCTGGGCGCGGGGAAGCGCGGCGGCTCTGCTGCCCGGGCCGACCGCTCGGTGTCCTCCCTGCAGCTACTACCTGAAGGAGTCCAAGGGCAGCAGGCGGTGGCTGCTCTTCCTGGAAGGTGCGTCCGGGGGCCGAGGCGGGGCGAGGGCGGGGGTCCCCGCGCGCGCGGGCCTGAGCGCGGTGCCGTGTCCGCAGGCGGCTGGTACTGCTTCAACCGCGAGAACTGCGACTCCAGATACGACACCATGCGGCGCCTCATGAGCTCCCGGGACTGGCCGCGCACTCGCAGAGGTTAGCGGCGGGCCTCGGGAAAGGCGGCCTCCACGTGAGGTCCAGGAGAAAGCCGTGCCCGCGCCCTGAGCCCCAGCGAGGCCCCCACCCCGCTCATTGTACCCAGCCCGGCGCCTGAATTCCTAAGAGCAAGGGGCGCCCTTCACTCACGCCCTTTGGGGTCCATTCCACACTGGCATTTAATAGGCGCTTACGGTCCCGGGGGTCAAAGTGGGGATGGGGGTTGAAGTCAAGGTCAGACCTGGTGTCGCAGCCTGGCCGGGCACCGTGGCTTTGGTGGCTTCCCTGGGTAACTAAACCCCACGGTCTTCCACTCCCGGCAACCTTGGTTCAGGCCCGCAGCACTAGCACACCTCCCTTGCTGGGGCCAAGTGGGGGAGCCCAGTCCCCGCCTGGGATTCCCGTCCCTGCGCAGCCTCCTCCCACTAGAAAGCCCCACCGCCTCTGTCCCCAGGCACAGGGATCCTGTCCTCACAGCCGGAGGAGAACCCCCACTGGTGGAACGCAAACATGGTGTAAGGGGGAGCAGGGTTCTGCCTGGAGAGGGTTCTTCCTGGGGGTCCTCCATGGGGGGTCCTATCCTGGGTTGGTCCTTCCTAGGGGGGTACTGTCCTGGGATGGTCCTCCCTGGGGAAGTCTTATCCTGGGGGTCTTTCTTGGGGAGGCCTGTCCTGGGATGGTCCTTCCTGGGGGTCCTTCCTAGGGGTCCTTCATCATTCCCGGAGGCTGCCCGGCGGCGGCGCTGTGGCAGGCTCACCGACCGTCCTGTGTTGCAGCTTCATCCCCTACTGCTCCAGTGATGTTTGGAGCGGGGCATCATCTAAGTCCGAGAAGAGTGAGTCCCCGGCCTTCCCAGGGCACAACAAGGCCCGACAGGGCAGGGATGAGGGGGGACAAGGGGGTTTCTCGGGAAAAGCTGACATTCAGCCTTGCCACACTCTCAAAGCCTTTGATAGTATGTCCCAGGGTCCCCGCCCCACGCACCCACTGCCCTCTTGGCCAAGACTGTAGGGGTCCTTATTTCTGAATATTCCCTAGGGAGGGGGCCCCAGCATGGCCTGGTGTGCCCACCTTCCTCCAGTCCCGGACTCCTCCCCAGAAGATTCCCCCCAGTCCCCCAGCAGAGCCAGAATTCTACCAGCCATTGTGGTGTAGGAGATGGTTCTCTGCCCAACCCCCTACCTGAGGTCATCCCCTCTCTCTATTGCAGACGAGTATGCATTCATGGGCACCCTCATCATCCAGGAGGTGGTGCGAGAGCTCCTGGGCAGAGGGCTGAGCGGGGCCAAGGTGCTGCTGCTGGCCGGGAGCAGGTGGGCAGGGTGGGGTGGGTGCTGGAGGTGAGAGGCAGGGACCCGTGTGGAATGGGCGTGGGGTGGGGGTGTATGGGAGGTGAGGATGGGGCGGAGCCTGTGCAGATCTTGGCAGGTGTCTGGGAGGGCGAGAGGCTGGAGCTGGGAGAACTGGCATCGCTGGGGACTCTGAAGTGCGGCTCCAGAGTGCTGGGCAACCGGACGCTGTCCAGAGAATGCTTCTGGACTCGATGGTTGCTGGCTGTAGGGGAAGTTTTGGGCTGCAGGGACCTAGGTCGTTGGTTAGGGGTTGGCCATGGACTAACGCCCCTCCTCCAGGGCCCGGTAGGTGAGGATCACCCCTGTGGGTCCCAGTATCCCAGCAGGCATGCAGGAGACCCAGGGGACATACGGGGAGCAGATGAAGGGGCCTGAGGCCACGTAGTTTATCTTCATTTTCAGATAAACTGAGGTAAAGAGACAGAGAGGAAGGGGAGGACGGGGGGAGAGCCTGGCCGTGTCAGGAAAGTGTGGTGACCTGCCAGCCTGGACGCCGGCCTGCCAGCCCCTCTGCCCCAGGACCTAAGGCCACGGGTCTTGCACGTGAACAGAGAACGCGGGTGGCATGCGCATGCGCAGTTCAGGCCGTGGGCGGCACGCGCAGTTCAGAAGGAAGCAGGGGCGCGGGCCGGGGTTGGGCAGCCTCGGGGACGCAGGTGCCTCTCCCCGCGCCCCGGCCTCACGCGGGCCCTCCTCGCAGCGCGGGGGGCACCGGGGTGCTGCTGAATGTGGACCGCGTGGCTGAGCAGCTGGAGGAGCTGGGCTACCCGGCCATCCAGGTGCGAGGCCTGGCCGACTCGGGCTGGTTCCTGGACAGCGAGCAGTACCGCCACACGGACTGCGTGGACACCATCACGTGTGCGCCCACGGAGGCCATCCGTCGCGGCATCAGGTGCCCCAGCCCCGCGGACCCGTCCCCGCATTGCAGCTGCGCCCCGAGGTCCTGGGTGGAGCGGCCTCTGTGGGTGGGGAGCTCTGGGGACGAGGCCTGGGGCAGCCTAACCCGCAGCTGTGGCCCCAGGTACTGGAACGGGGTGGTCCCAGAGCGCTGCCGCCGCCAGTTCCAGGAGGGCGAGGAGTGGAACTGCTTCTTCGGCTACAAGATCTACCCGACTCTGCGCTGTGAGTGGGCGGCGGGGTGGAGCAACGGGGCAGCTTCTGAAAATCCAGCGTGGACTCTAGCCCCTCGGGCTGGGCTTGGAGACCACTGCCCTGGTCCAGGGAGGAGGCCGGCTGTGTGCCAGGGGGCCTTGTCGCCGCGGTGTGCCTGGGACTTGCCTGCCCTCAGCACTCACAGCCCCCAATCCCAGGCAAACCGGGACAGGTGGTCACCCTGTTTACACCCGCGACTAGGGACATGCTTTGGAGCTAATCCCCGAGCTGCGCCTCCCTGCTGCAGGGCCCTGCGCCAGTCTCTCCCCAGCCCCTCACTCTGAGGAGTGGTGAGGTTGTATTGGAGTGAATCATCAGCAAATTTTTGTGAAAGTGGAGTTGCCGAGAAGCAGGCCAAGGTCATGGAGGGGTTAACAAGAGCCCTTTTTGAAGGAAAGGTGGTTTATTTATCTGTTTAGTTATGAACCTATGGATTATAAAAATGCTGGCTTGGAAGAAGGAAACCACATTCTTAGGGACTGGTGACTGGCACCCCTGGGGAGAGTCTAGCCAAGCCTAGGGGCCTGAGAGCCTCAGCAGCACTGGAGGGGACCTGGGGGTGCTGAGCTTGGAGCCTGGGGTGGGGGGCAGGAGCAGGGGTCATGGGGAGACCGAACTGAGCCCCGCCACCTGCAGGCCCCGTGTTCGTGGTGCAGTGGCTGTTTGACGAGGCCCAGCTGACTGTGGGCAACGTACACCTCTCAGGGCAGCCGGTGCAGGAGGGCCAGCGGCTGTACATCGAGAATCTCGGCCGCGAGGTGCGCCACACACTCAAGGACGTGCCGTGAGTGCATGGGCCCCGGGAGCCCCTCGCTGGGCAGCTCACTCTTGATTTAAAAATAGAGGTTCTAGGCCGGGCGCAGGGGGGCTCACACCTGTAATCCCAGCACTTTAGGAGGCCCATGTGGGCAGATCACCTGAGGTCAGGAGTAGGAGACCAGCCTGGCCAACGTGCCGAAACCCCATCTCCACAAAATGTACAAAACTTAGCCGGGCTTGGAGATGTGCACCTGTAATCCCAGCTACTCAGGAGGCTGAGGCAAGAGACTCACTTGAACCGGGAGGTGAAGGTTACAGTGAGCCAAGATGGCACCACTGCACTCCAGCGTGGCTCCACCTCAAAAATATATATATAGAGAGAGGTCTTGGGCCTGGCACGGTGGTTCATGCCTATAATCTCAGCACTTTGGGAGGACGGGGCAGCCGGATTGCTGGAGGCCAGAAGTTCAAGACCAGCCTGGGCAACATGGTGAAACCCTGTCTCTACAAAAAATACAAAAATTAGCCAGGCATGGTGGCAACACCTATAATCCCAGCTATTCGGGAGGCTGAGGAAGTAGGATCCCTTGAGCCCAGGAGTTCAAGATTACAGTGAGCTAACATTCCCTGTGGGAGGCAAGCAAGCTTCAATTGCGGCGCTACACTCCAGCCAGGGCGACAGAACCAGACCCCCATTCAAAATAAAATAAAAATAGGGTTCTGGATGGTAGCATAATATTTCCCTGTCTAGGACAGCCTCCTGCCCCCGCCCAGGAGGCCCTGCCTGGAAGGGAGGGATTTGTGGCACAAAGGGATAAGGATCAGCTGGGAGCTGGCTGACTCCAGGGGAGGCTTGGGCCAGAGGAGCAGCTGGCAGCCAAAGCAACAGGGAAGGGCAATGGCCAGGCCAGGGACAGCTCTAGGAGAGGAGGGTGGGAAAGGGACTGAATGGGTGGGGAGCTTACGAGCTACTCTCTCCTCTCCAACAGGGCCAGCTTTGCCCCTGCCTGCCTCTCCCATGAGATCATCATCCGGAGGTCAGTGTCCCTGGGCTCCGGGCAGCTGGCGTCCATGACATCAGCTTCAAAAGTCCACAGGCTCCCCAACTTCACTTGGCCTCCCACGGGCCTCTTCTTGGCTCTGTGTATGGGATTTCCTTCTAGGGCTGCCAGAGCCACTTGTAGCAACATCTGTATGGCAAGAATTAAGACACAGCCCTACCACGGCCAAGCAGTGGCTCACGCCTATAATCCCAACTATTCAGGAGGTTGAGGTGGGAGGATCACTTGAACTCAGGAGGTTGAGACTGCAGTGAGCAGTGATCACACACTGTATTCTAGCCTGAGAGGCAGAGGGAGACCTTGTCTTAAAGAAAAAAAAAAAAACCAAGCCGGGCACAGTGACTCACACCGGTAATCCCAGCACTTTAGGAGGCCAAGGTGGGCAGATCACCTGAGGTCAGGAGTTTGAGACCGGCCTGGCCAACATGGTAAAACCCTTTCTTTACTAAAAATACAAAAATTAGCGAGGCACAGTGGCATGTGCCTATAATCCTAGCTACTCGGGAGGCTGAGGCAGGAGAATCTCTTGAACCCGGGAGGCGGAGGTTGCGGTGAGCCGAGATTACACCACCGCACTCCAGCTCGGTCTCAAAAAGAAAACAGCCCCCTCAGTGGTGATACCACTGCCCATGTGACCCCAACCCGGTTTTCCTCCGCAGCCACTGGACGGATGTCCAGGTGAAGGGGATCTCACTGCCCCGAGCACTGCACTGCTGGGATAGGAGCCTCCATGACAGCCACAAAGCCAGCAAGACCCCCCTAAAGGGCTGCCCCGTCCACCTGGTGGACAGCTGTCCCTGGCCCCACTGCAACCCCTCGTGTCCCACTGTCCGAGACCAGTTCACGGGGCAAGAGATGAACGTGGCCCAGTTCCTCATGCACATGGGCTTCGACGTGCAGACGGTGGCCCAGCAGCAGGGACTGGAGCCCAGCGAGCTGCTGGGGATGCTGAGCAGCGGAAGCTAGGCGGACTGTCTGGAGGAGCCAGCACCAAAGGGCAAGGCCACCCGCTACCCAGTGCCACCTCACCCCCCACCAGCAGGCCCTCCCGTCTCTTCAGGACAGGGCCCCAGCCGTCCCCCTGCCTGGGTCTGCCCACCGGACTCCCGGCCCTGGCTTTGCCTGCCTGCCTCCCACGACCTGTAAGAGGCCCAGCCGGAGAGGGGATGTGCTGTCATCCCCAGCTGTGGCCGGAAGGCCCTTCCCCATGAGGGGAGCCAGAAGAAAAGCGCTGGATTCCTCAGCCCACCAGCTCAGACAGCCCCCACCCGGCCCCACCCATCAAGCCCTTTTATATTATTTTATAAAATGACTTTTTATTACTTTAATTTTTTTAAAAAAAGGAACAATCAAGAAATATATGATGAATGATCTTGTTTTGTAACATTTTTTTAAATGATGAAAAAAAAAGACAAGAACCTCACCCTGCTGACATGTTTATTTGAATGGGCAGTTCCACCGGCTTCACACCTCCTCTCCGGGACCCCAGGGCAGCAGGGAGATACAGGGAGGGGCCATGGGAACTCCCCAACTCTGACTTTCTTAATGCACAGACTCAGAGCAGTGTCTTCTGGAGGGGCCCTGCTTCCCTTCAACCCTTCACCAGATGCCCACTTCCCAGGGTGGATGGTACGAGCTGCATATCTTTACTTATTCATTTATTTTAGAGGCACAATCTCATTGTGTTGCCCAGGCTGGTGTGCAGTGGCACAATCTGCTCACTACAGCCTCCTGGGCTCAAGCAATTCTCCCACTTCAGCCTCCTGAATAGCTGGGACTATAGGCACCCACCACCACACCTGGCTAATATTTTAATTTTTTGTAGAGATGGAGTCTCCCTATGTTGCCCAGGCTGGTCTTGAACTCTGGGCTCAAGCAATCCTCCCCCCTCAGCCTCCCAAAGTGTTGGGATTATAGGCATGAGCCCCTGCACTCAGCCCCTTTTTATTTATTTATTTATTTATTTATTTATTTTTTATTTATTTTTATTTATTTTGAGACGGAGTTTCACTCATGTTACCCAGGCTGGAGTGCAATGGTGCGATCTCAGCTCACCGCAACCTCCGCCTCCTGGGTTCAGGCAATTCTCCTATCTCAGCCTCCTGAGTAGCT